GCCACCATGCCCGGCTAATTTTTTCTATATATTTTTACTTGGCCAATTAATTTTCTTTTTATCTTTAGTAGAGACACGGGGTCTTGCTCTTGCTCGGGCTGGTTTCGAACTCCTTGAGCAATCCGCCGACCTTGGCCTCCCAGGGTGCTAGGATGACCGGCGATCCTCCCGTGTCAAGCCTTGTGGAGGCAGCAGGGTCCTTGTCATCCTCAGTATATTCCCAGCGTGTTGGCTCATTCATTCAGCCCGTTCTCGTCTTCTGAACATCCAGAGTCCTGAAGTCCTGGCTCCTCCAGCGGTTTCCTGGAGGAGTGGACACACTGTGACGGGGCACACACTTCCAATTCTTCGGGTCAGGGCAGGGCCAGAGGCGTGGCCCAGGTTAGCAGTGGGGTGGAGTGTCCTGGAAGGCTTCCCGAATTAGGAGCCGTTCACATTCGTCCGCAGTCTGTCCAGACCCGAGGACTAGACCCCACGTGTCGTAAGAACGCCAAGAGAAAGGAGTTCTCTTTCCTGAATATTTTGCGACTTTCCCAGGTCCAGATAGCGCGTCTCTCCCTGTGGGCTGGGCGGCTGTCGCTCCCCTGTCCTCTCACTTGGTGCTTTCATGGCATCTTTAAGTTCTCCGGGAACCACTCCTTCCTCTGACTGCAGTTTCCAGCGCAGCGGGGGGATGGGGGTAAGGGTGCAGGAGAGAACACTCCGCGGTCACGGGTCCATGCCATCGCAACCTGGAGGGCCGCGGCCTGGGAGTCCAGCTGCTCCCTGTCCCAAAGCCACTTCTTCCCATCTGAGGCACTCCTTTCCTCACCTGTGGGGTGGGGCCCGTATTCCGCCCGCCCTGCGTGCCTCTCTGGGTGGGGTGTGCGTTCCCCTTGCTTGTTTATCCAGCAAATATTTACCAAGTCCCTCTCGTGTGCCTGGCCCCATGCTTGGCGCTGGACAGAGTCCACACCCACTTTGAGAGTTCCAGTCTAGCCGGGGAGACAGGTAATAAATAAACAAAGCAATTAGAGACCGGCCACATCCCATAATGGAAACACGCAGCCATGCGGCGGAGGGTGGCCATTAGGAGGGCCTGGCCAAGGGAGGTGACGTTCTAGCAGCCACCAGCGACGGGAAGGTCTGGGGAAGGGCACCCCAGGCACAGGCAGTAGCAGGGGCGAAGGTCGGGTGGCAGGAACGGGTGTGGCTGGAACCTCTGTGGCCTGGCTCTGCGGCCGGCCCGGGCAGGGCTGTGACGGGGCTGAGCTGGTCCTGTCTGTCTGGGGTGTTCTCTCCGCTGCTTTGTGCGTGGGGACTGCCAGTGGCGGCTGGGGAGGCTCCGCGTCCTCCTCGCTGGTGGCCAGAATGAGGCGGTGGCCCAAGAAGGGCCATCGCCAGGCTGGGAGGTGTATCGACGGGTCACCTGCTGTCACAGCAGGTGACAGTCTCTGGGTGGCTTTGCCAGGGCCTTGCTGTGTGTCCCCGGGCAGGTCCTCTTGCAGAACGAGCAGATTTAGACTGGGAGTCCACCATCATCCCCGGCCGCAAGGCCTAACCCGACCTCTGCCCTTTCTCCGGCCATCTGGGAGGCGGGCCCCGGCGGCTCCCACCCGTGTCCGGACTCCCACTGTGGCCGCGGGAAGGAAAACCCACGGCTGCTCCACAGTCGAGGGCGACCCAGGCGTGGGCCCCTGGCGCTGTCTGAGGGCGGCCGCAGGGGCCCTCACACGGGTGCGTCCCAAGGAGAAAGCCAAAGCCGGGGCCTGCAGGGGGCCCCCGCCCGCCGCCCTCCTGCTGCTGCGGGAGCAGCCGCCCCTTCCGCACGCTGCGCCGCGGCCTGTCCCTCCTCCTCCTCTGGCCTTTCCAGGAAGCCATGCAGGGAGTGGACTTGGGCCTGGCTTCCTGCTGGCGCCGACCTCCCTGGGGCAGCCCTGCTCAGGAAGAGCCTGTGGCATGTGGGGTCCCTTCCTGCCTCCTAGGGAGAGGCCTTCCAGTTCACACGCCCCGCAGAGGCAGCCGCCCGGGGACGGGGTGACGGGGGCAGCACTCCCCTGCAAAGGCTTCTGGGGCTGCCTGGAATTCCAAAGTGGCCAGGACAGGGCGGGGCAGAGCCTCCTGGGCCAGGCACTTCCGCATCCTTGGGGCCCCTGGATGCCGGACCTTCCTCGTGGTAAGAGTAGAACGGGTGGGAAGGTGGGCCCTGGACCCAGGCCCTGCCACCTGAGTCACTCTTCTTTCTGCACCCCCAGAGGGTGCTCCTGCACCCCCAAGACCATGCGACGGCCCCAGCCCCACCCAGGGGCCGGAGCTCCCCGGCGCTGGTCAGACAAGTCACGTGGCTCTGTTTGCCTTCCAGCTTCCCTTGTCCCTGCTGAAGAC